TTTTATTCGTCACCTTTATTCCGGCTTTTTTTTAGTTATTGACCTTCGATTTGTTGTTGAATATCAAGCTTTTTTGGGACGAGTTTTCGATCAACATTAGACTTTATTTGTCGGAGACGAGAATTGGATCTCAGTTTTGGTACATCTCTATCACCCCCAAGTAGACTGCTACCAACAATGTGCGGGAGGGTCGACGCCGGGCATTTTTGTTGTGTTTTCTTTAGAGATGAACAGTAAAAGAGAGAAAAAAAAAATGACTGATGGATAAAGACTGAGTGAGAAGTAAAGTACGTTAATGGAGGTGGTTGTAGGCATGGAGGATTTTTGGAAAAAAAATAAAAAAATAAAAAAAATAAAAAAATAAAAAAAATAAAAACAAAAACGTGTATGTTAATGGTTATGGAGGTTACATTTAGAATCTCAATAAATTAGGAAGTTACCATATAAAAGCCACCTCTTTTTAGTAATTATCTTGGAGAAACAGTTGTAAGTGTATCTAGTATTTGTGCTATTACTTTTGACCGATTTTGTAATATCCCATTCAGTAATTAATAAAAGTAATTATTTTAGTTCTAAGTTTGAACTAATTACTTTTATTAATAATGCTCGTTCCTAGTTCGAGCCTAGTTATTAAGTTATTCAGTTAAAAGTTTGACTTAAGTTGAAAGTATTCTCGGTTAAATTTTATTTAGTAATCGAGTCAGTTCAGTAATTAATTAATTCTGGTCTGTTTATTTTTATAAATGGATTTATAAGATGGGATTAATTATAACAAGATGACAAATAATAATAAAAAAAAATCGAGTATATTTTGATTACTCGTTCAAGATAAGTCGTGAACCGAACCAAGCATGTTCGGTTACGAATTAAGATTATTACCGAGCAAATGATTCTCGAGCCTAGCTTAGTTTTGAGTATTGATCAAGTTATAAGGATTAATTACACATTAATGTTTATTGAAGTGAAATAATTTATTTAAGATGAAGTTCAAGTTCAAGTAACATTCTATTTTATTTAGCTAAATGGATGTAAATTTGGCCATTTCTAGTTTGAATGAGAAAGAAAAAGAATAATGAGTCGAGACAAGTTAGGTCTCGAGTTCGGTTAAGTATCCATGAACATTTAAGTTATAAATGTTCAAAGAAGTGAGAAATTTATTTAGACATTTTAGTCTATTTAAATTATTAGAGAGAAATATGAAATTTTTAGAATTTTCGTTTTTTTCGGTTTTTGATTGTAGTCGGAATTTATGTCCGATTTCAGTTCCGAGAAATAAATTAAATTATTTTCTCTCTATTTTTTTAGTAGACTACAAGACAAGAAAAATTTTTCAGCATAAAAAGGAAAAATGCCAAAAGAAAAGAAGGAAATTCAAAAATAGTAAGAATTTTCGATTTTACGGTAACTGTTCGTTTTAAGTCATAATTTGGTTCCGTAAATTGGAGAATTTCACTAAATCTCGAATTTAATCATTGAGATTAGATTAGGATCAGAAGAGGGACCTTTCTAAGCATTGACTATGGGTTGGAGAAGTTTACAAGTTAAGAATACTATTTATTATCTATATTTATTTTTACAAGTTTGTATTGTTTTATTTTGTTAATTTCTTCACTCAATTATGATGTCTTGAAAATTTTACCTATAAATAGAGGCCTAAAACTCAGAGTTTTGACACCAAAGAAAAGTTTTAAAAGTTATATAAGTTTATAAGAGAGAATAAGTAGTAGAAATTTTGGTGGAGTGAAGAATTTGAAGTGAAGAATCAAGTTTTTATTCTAGCAAGAAGGAGGTAATTTACTTATCTTGAAGTTATATGCTTAAGTTCATGTCTTGATGATAAGTTTACATGTTTATAAGTATGTATATCATGATTAGAAGTTGAGTTTATAATTGATCATATGCTTAAAAAGAATTAAAATTGTTCAAGATCAATTATATGATATATGTGCTTGATTTGAATGAGATTTTGATAAAGAAAAGAATAAGCTGGAAAAGTATGATTTACATGATAAATTCTTGTGTAAAAGAGGAGTTCATGAGAACAAGAATTATGTCATTTGGCATAGTATAGCTTGAGTTATAAATTTTTGAAGTTAAGCATGCAAGTTGAATTTTATGTTCTTTATTTCAGTTGTGACTTTAAAATTGTAATAACTCGATATATACACATGATAAAATTATGAAATTTTTACAACATGCTTATATATGGGTTAAGAACATGACTGCCAAATTTCATGATTTTATGTTGAGAAATGAACGAGTTAAAATATTTATATGGCATACATGTCAAGATGATTTTATATGCAAGAGTATTCAGTATATGGTTGAGTTTTTAAAATGGAAATTTTAGAAAAAATTCTTATATGAGTGATGAGCAATTTGACCAAGTTTCAGCTCAATATGTTGAGTATGTGATTTTATAAAAATTGTTTTAAATCTCACATATTAAGAACATGATGAGAAAGTTGAGTATGATATGATTATTTTCACTTTCAAGATAATTAAGTGAAAAATAAGTCAATATCTAAATTTTGAGAAGTATGATGTATGATGAATTAAGTACTTGATTGAGTGAAAGATCAAGTTAAGATGAGTTTATAAACCATGATGATGATGATGATGGTAAAAGTAAGTTAAGTACTTAATCAAGTATAATGTGAAATATGGTTATTTTTCACATTTGAGTTATGGCATGTTATGAAACATATTGATGTTTAAGAAGATATGTTTTATAAGGTTAAGTAATTAACCTTGAGTAAAAGTAAAAAGTGAAGTTAAGTATAAACTTGAGAATAAGCAAGTTTAAGAATAGGATAAGTTAATAATCCTAAGAACTTATTGAGTATACGAGCATAGTACTTAGTATATTTGTCTATATTTGATTTAACTTGCAGATACAGTACCAGTACAGAACTTATTGAGTTACAAACGATTTCAAAGATGAAAAGGTGGGGACCCTGAATGGGTAGCACATTGAGTACGATATGTGATATGGGATGAGGAGACCATCAGTTGTCTCAAAAGTTATATCCCGAAGTTTAAGGTTTATTACGCTTGGGATGAGGAGGCATTAATTTGTCTCAAAGATTATATCCTAAGTTCTGATGGAGGCGAGACGGGCCTGAGAAATATCCATCAGAGTGTGCACACGTATCCGATTAACCATCGGCCAGAGAAATGAAAGTTTAAGTTTAAGTTACCGATCAGATATCGGTTTATGATTATCCATATTCGTTACTCACCCCCATGAGTTTTAGTTTCAGGTAACAGGTTAACGAGGAGGTGTGAGAAGAGCCGTGTGGTGTGGATCGTGAAAGAAAATGAAGACAAGCTTTAATGTGGACATTTATAAAGTTTGTATAATTAACCACGTTTCAAATATTTCTGCTACGCACATTAATTATTAAACTTGCATTTTAATGAATTTTAGATTTCAAGTTTTTATGAGAAATATGATGATAATATGTTAAATGCAAGTTTAAAGGAAATCTGTTTTAATAAGTCTAAAGAAGTATTAGGCAACAGTTTAAAGATAAACGAATTTTCAAGAAGACGAGTTTAGTAGCATCCCGAGTAAGTTGCAATTATTTCGAAAAAGTTAAAGTGATATCGAAGTAAAAGGTTGCGAAAAAGTTACTCTGATAAGCGGGGTGTTACAGATTTGAAATGTTTGCCAATAAATTATTTTGTTAGTATATGTGCAATATTTCTTTGTTTAGTTAGTATAGAGCCTAATTTTCTCAAAAAAATATGAATTGGCCTACATTATTTGTTTTATTGGGTCGATATTTTTGGTAAAATTATGTGTTCAATTAATTGGCCCGATATTTTGTTTATTTGGGCTGCTTTACATAATTTAAATATGTTACATAATGTGTTGGTCTATTATCTGATTTTTTTGAATTTTACTTATATATAGATACTATGGATTCCGATTTTCGCAATGGATCACCTGTTAGTAAATGGCATATGACAATTGGATCGGGCAGTTCATCAAATGCTTCAAATCATATGCCCTTCACTGATATTACAAAAGGTATTGCATTTATATTTCAATTTATATATAGATCAAAATATTCTCACCTTTCATTTTATAAAATGACAATTGTTTTATAGCGAATGAAATAAGCATATAATTCATATATTAAATTATTATATATCAATCAATAAAATAATAAATAATTATTATTATTCAAAATTATTTTTATACTGATCGTTCATTATTTTAATATATTCAATTATAATTATTGCTCCGTGCATCACAACGGCTACGTGGATAAAAATAAGAAACAACAATAAATAAACAAGCAAAAAGTAGTAGAAATGTATTTGATGATAACTGGGAAGCAGACAGGCGGTGTGCGAGGGGCAATATGGGGAAAA